TCACACAGATCGCACTTATACGGTTTCTCTCCCGTGTGAGTTCTCATGTGTGTCTTCAGAGTACTCGAATCTGAGAAGGCGGCATCACACAGATCGCACTTACACAGTTTCTCTCCCGTGTGAGTTCTTATGTGTATCCTCAGGTGACCCGATTGTGAGAAGGCAGCATCACACAGATCGCACTTATACGGTTTCTCTCCCGTGTGAATTCTTATGTGTATCTTCAGGTGACTCAATTGTGCACAGGTAGCATCACACAGATCACACTTATATGGTTTCTCTCCCGTGTGAGTAATCATGTGTTTCTTCACATTACCCGATACTGAGAATGCGGCATCACACAGCGCGCACTTATATGGTTTCTCTCCCGTATGACTTCTCATGTGTACCTTCGCACTACTCAGACAGGATAAGGCAGCGTCACACAGTTCGCACTCATATGGATTTTCTCCGGAATTAATTCTCACGTACTCCATCGTGCTTCAGGGAAAGCTGCCACGTACTGGTCACACACGTCAGGTGTATATCCTGTCTGGCACTCAAGTTACGACCACGTGTTTTGCTTCGTAGACTCCCTTGTCTCACTTGTAGAATTCACGTCCTATATATAGGCTCGCCTACAAATTAGTAAAGAGAATACAAATAAATGCATTGAACGCTGCGTATTGATGTAGAACAAAAACGTGCCCCGTTTATGTTTGCAATATAACTGTTTATGCTGCATATCGAATTATTATCATCCAAACATCACGCGCCATTTAACAACTGTAAGGTCAAGCACATAATATATCACGAAACTAAATATACTGAATTAATATAAGAAACATCCGTTTACCCAATGAAGTCACTGAACGTCCGTGTGGTGTTCTCGTATCAGATTGATGTTACAAATGTTAATGGTGTGATTATATACCGGCTGTTATCATGAAACCGGTCAGATATCCTGACACACGGGTAACCGGTCTGATCTCCTGATACCAGGAAACAAGGTGGTTGCTTCCCCTAAATAATTACAAAAGCAACTGTGCAATTTGTGCCTATAAAAAAGGGATTTTTTAATCCAGAAATGTGATCCGAGGTAGAGCATTTTGAAGACTGAGTTTTGGCATATAGATTTATCAACATATCGATCATATCGAGAAAATCACCCTGTCGAACGACAGCAGAAAGATAAACTCATCAATCTAAATATATATATATATTATATATGCAATATCCAATCTATTGTAGAATTTGTAGTAGCGTGTATCTAAATATAGAATAATGAAAGTGTCAATGACAGCAACCACTATCCACCTACATTATATAAAACAAGAGTATATATGGGAGAACTCCCATTATATAGCATATCTCCCATTATAGCGACCGTAGCAAGCTCTTTAGACTATACTATGCGATCCAATAATTTGCTCTTTTTTTAAATATCAAAACGCGTGCGATATGTTTTGGGACCAGTCCTTATTCATTTACTTGTAGTCTACGCCTACACCTTTTCTTCAATCTAATCAAACACGTCAAATGTGTGGCAACAGTGTTAGTGTTAGTGATATGCCTACAGCTACATACATTGTACAAAACGTTTTCACCAGAGGAAGGATAAGTTCTTTCCACTCGAAAGGTTGACAAAGACGACCTTTGCATGGAGTTCATCCATTCCTTGACCCCTTCTTTGGTGAAAACAGCCAACCTCAATGTTACATTCACTCCTCTCTTGTCAATTTCTACACTACAAATGTGGTGTTCATAGTTGTCAGGCAAGAATTCCTGCAATAACAGAAGTTAAAAATAAAATATAATTCTATTATAAGTACAGCATGATGATTAGTGCTATAGTAATAATTTTCCACAGCAATTTCATAAGCTGATATTATTAGAGGTGTAGATCTATAATAAATTTGCTAAAGGTAGACATGCTGGAGCACAAATGAAAGCAGGCTATGGCTATGCACGCACACCATGCTGACATAGCGCTGACAGCACAGCTGACAGCACACGCTGACAGCACACGCCGCTGTCGGTGTGTAAAACTGTAAACAGTAAATAGCTTCACACCGTTTCACATCAAGAACCATATGTTTCTATTTCTAAAAAATTTCTATTTTTGATTGCTAGAGTAATTTCAACTGACCTCTAACCAGCGTATGTGTTCTGAATGAGCATTGGCCTCTGAATGAGTGCACAATACAATGCTAGCGGAGGGCGGCCATATTGCGAATTGCGATATTGACAAGATGAGCTCTGATTGGCTGTCATATTGCTGTATGCAAATGAGGTCCTTAACTCTCGTGGGGAAAAAAATTTCGCGCCCGGCGAGACGTCGCCACATCCTCTTCTCAATTAACTCTTGCACAAGGTGGCAGAGGTAGGCTCCTTGCTGCCGTCTTCTATGAATCCAAGGCTTCACCCAGGCAGAGCGATCCCTGGACCTCCTCCTCCGTTTCCGTAAATTTAGTAAAGCTGTTAAAATTCTCTTGTGCAAACTGGGCATCGCCATTTTTAGATCATTTGACTGTTGGTTACAATACAGCTACTAGAAGGCGCCACGAGGTTGTTCGCTTCAAAATGTTTGGCAATATGCGGTCAGAACTTTTTTCCCGCACATAGCCAGACAAAAACATTTGTTCGGGAAAATGTTCGGCAATGTGCGCCAGGCTTACGTGTCAGTGAGCACAAGTCTACGCCAGTCCACCTCTAGGGTAAAAAACGCGAGCGTATGCGGAGACGATGAGTGATTGTTTATTTTACAGGGATACCATTATAACAACGTGGGCTGTCCCACAGTAGCAGCTTGGCAGAGGAAGGCGACCCCCGCATGAGAGCGAACGCGTGCCTTGCTTGCCGCCCTCACACAGTATCCACCACAACAGCACTCCTGTGTGTGTGTGTGTGTGTGTGTGTGTGTGTGTGT